TTGTTTGCTCTTAATCTGTGGGACTCCTAGAGGCCTAGATAATTTTTTGCTAAAGAAAATTATCTGCTTTCCAGAGTCAAGGAATACTCACAGCCTCACAAGAGGGTTAAAGGTTAATACTCACTTTAACCCTCTTCCAGAGCCTTTATTTTAATGTAGGAATTGTGGGCTCGGCTCAGTTTCCTTGTGTTTGCCAAGGGCCTTGTATGGCAGTGTCAGCACAGGCATTGCCCACAGCATACCTGCCTTTCTTCTTTGCTTGCTGCTTCTCTTTTCTGGCTCTGGTTTCAGCTTACATTTTTGTTGTTGTTTACTTCTAACAAGTCCAGCAATGCATTAAACTTATATTTTATGTAGAGAAGCCAGGAGAACAGAGAAAAAAGTGTATTTTATAGATTTAGCAAGGATGGGACAAATTTTCTGAAGAATGTAAACATCCCAGACTTTGAGCAATTTTACTTTAAGACCTCTACTGAGGAAGTAATTAGAAATGCCCTCAAACATTTATGCTCTGAGGTATTCACTCAAATGGTGTTTCATATAATGGAATAAAAAACTAGGCCTTTAAGCTAGACCTTTCTCACTCATCTGCCTATCTTAATCCCAATTTCATCCATCTGTAGCATTAAAATAAAATGAAACCAAATTACATGAATCCATACCAAAAGCACTGTAAGGTGAAGCAGATCATTATTGAAAGAGAGAGAACAGAGGTTACCCTTCATCTTATCCAGAGTCATTTCCTTAAAGATCCTTTAACACATCTCTCCATTCCCCAAACTCTATTTCTGTAGCCTGAAACCTTCCCTGATGTGACTCTGCCTCTGGTCACCAGTTCCTGTTCTCTTCCCCACAACCAGGATTCTTCTTCTCACTTCTTTCTCCAGCCACCTCTGGTATCTCTTTTCCATTCCTAGATTTTCTCCTCTATTTTTTCCCCTATAGTCAACTAAAATCTTTACTGATAAAGTCCATTTGAAAAATTTTAAATCTTCTGTACATTTCTAACATTTTTATATTATGTATCTGAACTTAAAATCTAATTCATCCTTTAGCTTCCTTATCTTAAGGTTAAATCACCCTGACTTACTGAAATCTTCCTTTTAAATGTGTTTTCCTTTCAGTTACTTTGGTTGCTTTTACCTTTTTTTACTTTTCCAATATTCTTTTATACTATCCCAAACTGAGCATAGAATTTTAATAATAGTGTAATAGAGCTATTACTTTCTTGTCCTTAGATGCATTACATCCTTTAAGCTCTCCATACAGCAACACTGTCCACCCTTGTATGCAGAAGAAATTTACGTTTCATTTTTTTAAATGGCCCTAATAATAGTTGAAGATGTTAGAAAGTGTAAAAATCATATACTTTTTTTTGTCTCTACGTGTGTCTGTACTGAGTAAATAAATGACATAGAGATGAAATCCAATGTATACAAACTGGATTATGTAGAAAACTGACTCTCAAAAACTGGCTCCCATTGTTGCAATAGGGCACAATTATTTTTGTCTTGATATATAGGCTCAAAACTTGGAAGTAATTTTTTAGTAGAGTTTTGCCTATGGAGGTTTTGGTTTGTATATTTGACCTTTTAAATGTTTAAAACGTTTAAAAACACACAAGACAGTGCTGTTTTGATCACAAAAGAGTATGCTATCTTTTGCCATGTGGGTGATCTTTCTTTTCCTGTGAGATCATTACTACTAAAGCTCTAGTTTAAGTGAAAAATGTGGAGATGCTACTTATTGCTATGGCCAGTTTTTAAAAGAATAAAGTAGCAGGCCAGGCACAGTGGCTCACACCTGTAATCCCAGCACTTTGGGAGGCCAAGGCAGGCAGATTACGGAGTCAGGAGATCGAGACCATCCTGGCCAACATGGTGAAACCCCATCTCTACTAAAAATACAAAAAAACTTAGCTGACTGTGGTGGTGCGTACCTGTAATCCCTGCTACTCGGGAGGCTGAGGCAGTAGAATCACTTGAACCCGGGAGGTGGAGACTGCAGTGAGCCTAGATCGCACCACTGTACTCCAGCTTGGCAACAGAGTGAGACTCTGTCTAAAAAAAAATAAAATAAATAAAGCAGCCTTTGAATTAAAAGTAGACCATATCCTTAATAGCCCCATATAGGACAATGAACCTGGACCCTATCTCCCACCATATACAAAATCAACTCAGAATGGATCAAGGACTTAAATGTAAGACCCAAAGCTATTAAAATATGAGGGAAAAACCTAAGGAAAATGTTCCTGGACGTTTTTCTAGGCAAATAATTTATGACTAAGACCTCAAAAGCACAAAGAACAAAACCAAAAATCGACAAAAGGGACTTAATTAAACTAAAAATCTTCTGCACAGCAAAATATCAACAGAGTGCAGCTACAATCTCTTCAATGGGATAAAGTATTTGCAAACTGTTCTTCCAGCAAGGGACTAATATCCAGGATATACGAGGAACTCAAATAATTCAACAAGAAAAATAAACATTAAAAAGTGGGCAAAGGACATCAATAGTAGATGTTTCTCAAAAGAAGACATACCAATGGTCAATAGGTATATGAAACAGTGCTAAACATCACTAATCATCAGGGAAATGTAAATCAGTTCCACAGTGAGATATCAGCTTACCCTAGTCAGAATGGCTATTATTAAAAAGACAAGCAATAACACATGCTGGTGAGGATGCAGAGAAAAGAGAACTCTTATACACTGTTGGTGGGAATGTAAACTAGTATAGCCACTATGAAAAACAGTATAGAGATTGCTCAGAAAATTAAAAATAGAATTATTTGATCCAGCATTCCACTAGTGGTTATCTGTCCAAAGGAAAAGAAATTAATATATCAAAGTGATACTTGCACTTGCACGATTATTGCATTAGTATTCATGATAGCAAGGATATGGAATCAACCCTAAGTGTCCATCAGTGGATGAATGAATAAAGAAAAAGTATATATACACAATGGAAACTATTCAGCCATAAAAAGAATGAAATTCTATTATTTGCAGCAACATGGATGGAACTAGAGGTCATTATCTTAAGTGAAATAAGCCAGGCACAAAAAGACAGATATCACACATTCTCACTTGTATGTGGGAGCTAAAAATTTTGGTCACATGCAGGTAGAGAATAGAAAAATAGATAACAGAGGCTGAAAAGGGTGAGTGGTGGGGGCAGAGAGAAGGATGAAGAGAGGTAAGTTAAAAGATACAAACAGTTAAATAGAAGGAATATATCAAGGTTTGATAGCAGAGTATGGTTATTAACAAAAATATACTGTACTCAAATGACAAACACACTAAATACCCTGACTTGACCACTACTCATTATATACACGTAGCAAAAATTCACATGTGCCCCACAAATATGTACAGATTGTTAACAGTGAACCATATCCTTGTCCAGGCATAGTGGCTCACACCTGTTATCCTGGCACTTTGGGAGGCCAAGGTGGGAGGATTGCTTGAGCCCAGAAGTTCAAAACTAGCCTGTGTAACATAGTGAGACCCTGTTTCTACAAAAAATTTTAAAAAATTATTCAGGCATGGTGACACACGCCTATAGTCCCAGCTACTTGGGAGGAGTCCCAGCTACTGAGGTGGGAAGATCTCTCGAGCCTGGGAGTTGGAGGCTGTAGTGAGCTCTGATCACGCCACTGCCCTCCATCCTGGGCAACAGGGCATGACCCTTTCTCAAAAAAAGTAGACCATATCCTTAATCACAATAGCCAAGATATGGAGTGTTCATCAACAGATGAACAGATAGATAAAATTATGGCATGTGTACACAATGGAATACTATTCAGCCTTCAAAAAGAAGGAAATCCTGTCATTTGTGACTAAATGAATGAACCCAGAGGACATTATGCAAAATAAAATAAGGCAGACACAGTAAGACAAATACCACATGATCTCACTTACTTGTGGAATCTAAAAAGCTGAACTCATAGAAGCAGAGAGTAGAGTGGTAGGTAGTTTGTGGGGAGGGCACTGTGGAGATGGCCAAAAGATACAAAATTTCAACTAGACAAGAGGAGTAAGTTCAAAAGATCTATTGTAAAACTTGGTGACTGTATTTAATAACAATATATTCTTGAAAATTGTTAAGAGAGACCAGGCATGGTAGATCACACCTGTAATCCCAGCATTTTGGGAGGCCGAGGCAAGAGGATCACTTGAGGTCAGGAGTTCAAGACCAGTCTGGCCAACATGGCAAAACCCCATCTCTACTGAAAATATAAAAATTAGCCAGGTGTGGTGGCGCATGCCTGTAATCCCAGCTATTTGGGAGGCTGAGGCAGGAGAATCACTTGAACCCCAGAAATGGAGATTGCAGTGAGCCGAGATTGTGCCACTGCACTCCAGCCTGGGGCGACAGAGCAAGACTCTGTCTCAAAAACCAACAACAAAAAACTGTTAAGAGAGCAGTGTTCTCACCACAAAAAATGGTATGTGAGGTAATACAAATGTTAATTAGCTAAATTTAGTCATTTCACAATGTATTACATATATCAAAACATGTTGTATGTGATAAATTATATACTTTTGTCAATTAAACAATAAATCGTAGACCACATTCATTCATTCAATGTAAAATGAACATCCATTGTGTCAGAGTGTCAAGGCATGGAGATCAGGCAGAACAAATATAAAATGACCTATCAGAGAGTATAGAATAAGAACAGCTCCACAAGGAAGGAATAGGCTTTGGAACGTGAAAACTTACATTTCAAGGGGACAGACACTTAATAGAGAACCTGAATACCTCTGGTATTATTTTTATATACACATATATACACACACACACACACACACACATACACACACACAAATGTGATTTTTATATATAAGATTATTTAAATTTTTATGTTTCCCTTTTGTATGTTTTAGATTCTGATTTGGTCAATTGAACACTTGACCTAATGATAAAATATTACAGTAAATAAGCTTGCTGAATTTCTTCTTGTTCAAATTCTCTTTTGTGTGCTTTTAATTTAGCAAACAAAGATCACAAGGAAACACATTCTCAAATGAGAGAATTTGGAGCACCTCAGTTTTCTAACTCTGAAAATGGTAAGAAATAATCATTTCACTCTACATATGAATGATTCTTTAAAATTCTTCAATTTTTATTTAACATTTATTTCCTTAACATTAGAAACTGTCTCGGTCTCTATATAAGAATGCAATTATGTGCTTCTACTTTGTAGCACATCACAATGGAAATTAAATAATTATTTGTTTTGTATGTTTGGGCCCTATCAGAATGTATCCGTATAACCAGGACAGCTAGGGCTGTGTCTGCTTTTCTGTCTCACGTATCTCAGCCACCAGCAGTATAAGCACTCAGTAAATATTTGTTGAATGAATGAATACAATTGTTTGTATATCTAGTGTCATTAGATACTAGCAAAATAGTAAATGTCGTTCAACATTAAATACATTAAAATCACTATTTAAGAAACAAAAGTATGCCCCCAACATCGGGTTTCCTTATCTGTAAAATGAGGATCAAGACTAAATCAACTTTAAGGTACTTCCTAAGCATTAAATAACTACCTTGAATATCTTTCTCAAGCAATTAGGTTGTAAACATTTTCTCCTAGTTTGTCATTTGTCTTGTGACTTTGTTTCTTTAATTTTTTTAAGTTAAAAAAAATTTTTTAAGCTTTAAATACAGTCCAATTGGTTAATCTTTTCTTTTATTGGATCTGGACTTTAGTCATAGTCAGGAAGCTTTCCCTAAACCCAGAGTATAGAAGAATTCTCTTATGCTTTCTTCTGGTATTTATGTAGTATTATTTTTTACATTTGGATCTTGAATTCATTTGAAGTTAATTCATGTGTACAGTGTTAGCAATAGATCAAATGTTACCTTCCCCCCCTCCCCCCGCCCAAATGCTATCCTTTATACAATTTTTTTTTTTTTAAACAGCCTTGCTCTGACATCCAGGCTGCATGATCTTCACTCACTGCAACCTCTGCCTCCTGGGTTCAAGCAATTCTTGTGCCTAAGCCTCCCAAATAGCTAGGATTACAGGCATGTGCCACCACGCCCAGCTAATTTTTTGTATTTTTAGTAGAGATGGGGTTTCGTCATGTTGGACAGGCTGGTCTCAAATTCCTGGCCTCAAGTGATCTGCCCACCTCAGCCTCCCAAAGTGCTAGAATTACAGATGAGAGCCACCACGCCCTGCCCTTTATGTAATTTTTTTAAATGCCATCTTTGTCCTAGTATTGAGATAACATCTTGTCATATACTATATTTCTATTTCCACTTGGATGTATTTCTAGACTTACTTTATATTTCAAATGGTGTGTGCATGCACCAGTGCCACAAGTTTTTTTTTTTTTTTGAGATGGAGTTTTGCCCTCGTTGCCCAGGCTGGAGTGCAATGGTGCAATCTTGGCTCACTGCAACCTCTGCCTCCCAGGTTCAAGCGATTCTCCTGCCTCAGCCTCCCAAGTAACTGGGATTACAGGCTTGTGCCACCACGCCCGGCTAATTTTGTATTTTTAGTAGAGGCAAGGCTTCTCCATGTTGGTCAGGCTGGTCTTGAATTCCTGACCTCAGGTGATCCGCCTGCCTCTGGATTACAGGAGTGAGCCATCGTGCCTGGCCCACATAGTTTTAATTACAGAAACTTTCTTCTAGTTTTAGTATCTGGTAAGGCTAGAAGCCCCCCTCCTTTTTTTATTATTATTATTATTTTCTTAGCTATTTTTGCATGTTTATTTTTTCAATTTGAATATAAAATTGTGGGGCTTTATTAAAAAGCTCGATACTTTATTGTAATCACATTAAATGTGAAAACTGACAGGCTGATCATCTTGAGACATCCTCATGAAAAACAAGGGACATCCTTCCATTTGTTAAAGTTTACTGGTATATCTTTCAGACTTTTTTTTCATACAGGTTTTGAATATTTCCTGTTAAGTTTATTTCTATGTATTTTATCTTTCTGGTTGCTATTGTAAATGGGGTTTTCTTTTCCATTATATATTTTCATTAGTTATTTTGTATATATGAATGCTATTCACTTTTGCATGTTAGTTTTATATCCTGGCATACAGCTGAATTCTTTTGTTATTTGAGTCATGTCATCTGAAAATAGAGATTGTCTTGTTTTTTCTCCTTACCAACTCATAGATTTCTCCTGTTTAATTACATTGGCTACTACCTTTAGAACAATGTTAACTAGTAGTGAACATTTCCTGACTTTAGTGGAAATGCCTATATTTCTGAATTAACTAAGATGCTGGCTTTGGACACAGATATATTTCATAATGTTAAAGAAGCATCCATCCATACTTACTTTCTTAAGAATTTTTATTAGGAATGGTTGTTGATTTTTTTTTTTTTTTTTTGAGATGGAGTCTCACTCTGTCACCCAGGCAGGAGTGCAGTGGTGTGATCTTGGCTCACTGCAACCTCTGCCTCCTGGGTTCAAGCGATTCTCATGCTTCAGCCTCCCAAGTAGCTGGGATTACAGGTGCATACCGCCACACCCAGCTAATAGTTGTTGAATTTTGTTGGCAGCTTTTTCAGTATCTATGCCAGGAAATATTTGCTTTTTCTTCTTAAATATATTAATATGATGAACTATAATAATAAGTTTCGTGATATTATATCATGTTTGCATTCCAGTTGTAAGTCCAGCTTTGTCATTTTATACTAGTCTGCTTGCTAACATTTTACTACTCTCTTTGCATTCTTTTTTTTTTTTCTTTTTTTTTGAGATGGAGTTTCACTCTTCTCACCTAGGCTGGAGTGCAGTGGCACGTTCTTGGCTCACTGCAACCTCTGCCTCTCAGGTTCAAGCAATTCTCCTGCCTCAGCCTCCCCAATAGCTGGGATTACAGGTGCATGCCACCATGCCTGGCTAGTTTTGTATTTTTAGTAGAGATGGGGTTTCACCATGTTGATCAGGCTGGTCTTGAACTCCTGACTTCAGGTGCTCCACCTGCCTAGGACTCCCAAAGTGCTGGGATTACAGGCATGAGCTGCCACGCCTGGCTCTTTTTGCATTCTTTTGTTGTTGTTGTTGAGATGGAGTCTCTCTGTCACCCAGGCTGGAGTGCAGTGACATGATCTCTGCTCACTGGAACCTCCACCTCCCAGGTTCAAGCAGTTCTCCCTGGCTCAGCCTCCTGAGTAGCTGGGATTACAGGCACCCACCACCACACCTGGCTAATTTTTGTGTGTGTATATATGTGTGTGTGTGTGTGTGTGTATATATATATATATATATATATATTTTTTTTTTTTTTTAATAGAGATGGGGTTTCGCCATGTTGGCCAAGCTGGTCTTGAACTCCTGACCTCAGGTGATCCGCCCACTTCAGCCTCCCAAAGTGCTGCGATTTGCTAAGTGTGAGCCACTGTGCCCGGCCTCTTATTCATTTCTTAACCTATGAAAACATCTAGGTCTAGTGCTTTCTTGTAGTTGTGTGTTTTTTGTATCTCTCTATAGAAATCAGTCCGTTTAAGCTTTTAGTCTGTACTGGGATTGATTTTAGTAAATTATATTCTTCTAATAAATTATTCATTTTGTCTAGACTTCTAAATTTATTTGAGATAGCGTTGTACAAAATTTCTTTTTATGTTTAACAGCTTTATTCAGGTATAATTTAAATACCATAAATTTCACCCATTCTAACAGTTCATAATTTTTAGAAAATTTAGATTATGCAACCATTACCACAATTAGATATTAGAATGTTTCCATTACCCCCAAAATTCTCTCACGCTTGTTTTAAATTAATCCCTGATTCACTCCAAGCCGTAGGTAATTAGTAATCTGTTTTTCTCTCTATAAATTTGCCTTTTCTGGACATTTCATATAAATGAAGCCATACAAAAGGTTAGTCCTTTATTTCTGGCATCTTCCAATTAATGGTTTTTAGAGTCATCCATGTTGTGGTATGTATCAGTAGTTTATTATTATTATTTTTTGAGACCGAGTGTCACTCTGTCGCCCAGGCTGGAGTGCAGTGGCACGATCTTGGCACACTGCAACCTGCCTCCCGGGTTCAAGCGATTCTCCTGCCTCAGCCTCCCCAGTAGCTGGGACTACAGGTGCATGTCACCACACCCGGCTAATTTGTTTTGTATTTTTAGTAGAGACAGGGTTTCACTGTGTTAGCCAGGATGGCCTGACCTTGTGATCCGCCCACCTCGGCCTCATGAAGTGCTGGGATTACAGGTGTGAGCCACTGCCCCCGGCCAGTTTATTACTTTTTATTAAGCAATAGTATTCCATTGTATGGATATATACCATCTTATGTTTACTTATTTACCAGTTGATGGATATTTGGATTGTTTATAATTTTTGGCTATTATACTACTACTATGACTACTGAACATTCATGTACTTCTCTTGGTGTGGGCATACATTGTCATTTTCCTTGGTTAGATTCCCAGGAGTGGAACTGCTAGGTTACATGGTGAATTTAACTTCTTAAGGAATGGCCAAACTTTTTTCAAAATAATTGCACCATTTTATTTCCACCAGCAAAGTGTGAGGGTTCTAGTTTCTCCACATCTTTGCCAACATTTGGTATTGTCTATATTTTATTTTATTTTTTAAGACGGAGTCTCGCTTTGTCACTCGCTCTGTCACCCAGGCTAGAGTGCAGTGGCACGATCTCAGCTCACTGCCATCTCCACCTCCTGGGTTCAAGTGATTCTCCTGCCTCAGCCTCCTGAGTAGCTGGGATTACAGGCATGTGCCACCACACCCAGCTAATTTTTGTATTTTTAGTAGAGATGGGGTTTCACCATGTTGGCCAGGCTGGTCTTGAACTCCTGGCCTCAAGTGATCCACCTGCCTTGGCCTCCCAAAGTGCTGGGATTACAGACATGAGCCACCATGCCCGGTATATTTTAAATAATAGTTATTCTAGTGCTTTTTTTTTTTTGAGACGGAGTTTTGCTCTTGTTGCCCAGGCTCGAGTGCAATGGTGCAATCTCAGCTCACTGCAACCTCCGCCTCCCGGGTTCAAGCGATTCTCCAACCTTGCCTCCTGAGTAGCTGGGATTACAGGCATTCGCCACCACGCCTAGCTAATTTTGTATTTTTAGTAGAGACAGGGTCTTGCCATGTTGGCCAGGCTGGTCTCGAACTCCTGAGATCCACCTGCCTCAGTCTCCCAAAGTGTTGGGATTACAGGTGTGAGCCACAGTGCCTGGCTATTCTGGTGCTTTTAATTTGTAGCTTTGACTTGCATTTCTCCAGTGACTGATGGTGTTGAGACTCTTTTCATGTGCTATTGGCCATTCGTATATCTTCCTTACTGACAAATCTATTCCAATCTATTGCCCATTATTTAATTGGGTTGCTTATCTTATTAAGTTGTAAGAGTTTATATATTTTTTATAAAGTCCTTTATCAGATATATGACTTGTAAATATTTTATCCCAGTCTTTTATATTTTATAGTCTTTTTATTTTCTCAATTTTGCCTTTGGAAGCACAAAATTCTTTATAAGTCCAAGATATCATTTTTTCTTCTTGCTGATTGCTCTGTTGATTTCAACAGTCCCTGGAGCATAAATTGTTCCACACAATAAACCAATCAAATTTGGACTCATTTAAAGAAATAGTTCTTAAGGTCACTGAAATTTGTGGTGACCCCAGCTGGCTTTTTCCCTGGTTCCTTCAGGCAAAGTAGCTGGCCTACAGTTTAGCCTACATGTTGAGACTCATACACTGTAAGTCTTCTCCCAGTTGCCTGTTACTAAAACCTCCACTGTTTTGAGAGCATCCTTAGGGTTGAATTTCTCTACACTCTGTTACAAATGAAGTCAGTGCCTTTGGAAAGGGATTAGGAACTATCAGTTTTATGGTTCTCCCTCACCCCCTGCAAGGAAAATCTCTGAGTCAGAGCTTGAGCCGGGAGTGGGGACAATGGCATACTTCTTCCTGGGTGTCATCCTTGCTCTAGGAGCCGAGTGCTAGGTGAGGAGAGTGATGGTAGCCTTAGGTCTTCTTAGCTTGCCTCTTTCTTCATGAAACCACCACTTTACTAGCAGGGTCAAGTGATCAGGGGCCCTATGTTCTCAGCACACTACACCAAACTCAGACTTCCCAACCCATGAAGGATCTGGGGAGGAGATGGGAGCCTCTATCATCTATTGACTGCACTCACCTAGGATTTAGCCTCAGCAACAGGTAACTGGGGACAGGATGTGAAATGCTGGCATCTTACTCCTCCTGGGAAGCTAGTCCTTGACTGACAGCTGGAGAGAGAAGGAGCCCTGTGTTCTGGCTGCACCAGACTGGAGTGGAATCTCCATTTTGCTAAGTTGGAAATTGGGAAGATGGGACTGGTTCTCAGTTCAAATACCACAAACTCTTGCCACTTTTCCTAAATTATTGTAGACTTAATCTTAAGTAAATATTTCCTCATTTGCTGCATATCCTTGGGACTATTTCCAGAGACTTTAAATGCTTCTTTGTTTTGAAAAATAACTTTCACCAATTATGCTGGGGTGCAGGTCTGTGACACCCCTTCCTTTCATTTTTATTTATAAAAATGTTTAAGGGATATGATTTTGCCTTTGTTCATGCCATTTAACTATTCTGTTGTCAAAAGGTAAAATTACAGCAGATTTAAAGACCTTAATTGGCTTTTATTTGCAATTCTAGAATCAGGCATTACCCCATTCTATAACATGGAATGGGTGTTCTGAGGAGGTTGGTTTTATAGACAGAAAAGGACCAGGGAAAGCAGAAACAGAAAACAAAAAGTAGATTGATCATTGCAGTTACTTTTCTTGTAAGGGTTAAAGCAGAGGGGATTTCCTTATCATGCCAGCTAGGACTGGCCTGCTTGGGGACTTGGCTGTGGTGTCTCTCTCTTAATTTCTTGAAAGGCCAGATAACTTTGTTTGGTTTGGTGATGTAGAACTTTAGCATGAGTGACTCCATTTTGGTTTGGTCTGTTGGGTCTAGTACAAGAGCTCAGTCCAAACCAATGGTCTATACATTTTACTTAACACCATGAATTATGATATAAAATATTTCCTTCATCATTATTTTTCCGAAATAATGATGTTTCTCATTATTTCAACATTGTTTGGTAGAAGGTTTTAAGATTTACAGGTGGAAGGACCTTTCTGTTTTTATAGTTTCATTGTAGAATTGTCTTTTTATTGCATTATGATCAGAGCATGTTGTTTGTAATGTTCCTACTTTAAGAATACAATTTTTTGTGTGTTTGTGCCTTAGTATAATCAACTTTTGTGCATTTTCAATGTGTGGTTAAGAAGAATGTTTCTATTACCGGGGTTTGTGTTATCCAAAATAACTACATTATTGATTATGCTCTTTTGATCCTTTTTATCTGTTGTCCTCTTGGCGTGTTTTTTAGTCAGACTGGTATATTAAAGTGTCATATTACTAATTTGTTTCTATGCCTTTTTGCATCTCCTTTGGTTTCTGACTTAGATGGTAGCTTAATTATTTCATATATAGCTCTTCATAAGTTATATCTTCATTGTGAAATGTGGCCATTTTGACCTAAATCCTGCCTAATTAGAAATCATTTTCACATAAACTTGCAGTCACTTTAGTTGTTTGTTTAAAACTGTTAATACAGTATGAAAACAATGAAACAAATTTGATTTGTCCTATGTCTTATTCTCATTTCCTAAAATCAAAAAAAACCTTTCTGTTTTTATTTACACTCAATAGTTGCAAAAGATCTACCTGTAGATTCATTGGAAGGAGAAGATTTTGAGAAGGAATTCTCATTTCTGAACAGCCTCCTAAGTTCTGGTTCTTCAAGTACTAGTGAATTTACCCAAGAATGCCAGACTGCCTTTGGGAGCCCTAGTGCCAGTCTCACATCCCAGGAGCCTTCCATGGGGTCTGAGCCCCTCGCTCATTCTTCTCGATTCCTTCCTTCACAACTTTTTGACCTTGGCTTTCATGCGGCTGGAGCATTCAACAGTAAGTGTCTATGAAACATTTGGACATATGTGCTTTACTTTATCTTTGTGAAGTAAAATGGTGTGCTTATTGATGCTAGAATCAACAAGGAGATTGATTTTAACGTCAGCTCTACTAGATAAAATCTGCAGTCCACCAATCAACTGGAAAAATATTAGTCACCTCAGGAATCTGTCAACAAGACTGAAACAAGGGCTGCTTCCCTGCCACCTTCACCAGACCCCAAGTTTTCTTCACTGATTTTTCCAGGCGTCTGGTTTAAAACACTTGACCTGCTAATTACTTCTCCCTAGGGCAGTCAATACTGTTTCTTCCATCAAGCAAAACTTGCTGAGTTTGGAGTTGACAAGAGAAAAAGGAACAGCTCTGGAGGCTGGTTCCCTTTCTGGGCAAGGCAGCAGGAAAAAGAGTCCACCATCCTGTGTCCAACCCTGCACCTTAGGGGTCACTTTGCTTCCCATATCCATATTGGTTACCAAATCCTGTCAGTTCTGTTTCTGAAACCTGTCTCAAATTTCCCACTCCTCTCTGCCTCAACATCAGAGCCATTTAGAGTCTCATTTGGTTTCACAGGTTATTGCAAGAGTTACTAACAGGTCTCCAACCCCCAATTCATCTTCTACACTTCCGTGGAGTTCTCTCTCCAAGCAGCAGATTCTGATGTCAGCACCCAGCTTACATTTTTAAAAATGAAACACCATGGTTTCTAGGGATAAAACCTGCCTATGTCGCATTTCCATCCATATCTCCTATCTCCTATTGAAGTGAAGGAAGAATACTTGCCGTTTTCTATAATCACACTGAGTGCTCTACAGCCCTCTGATGCATCTATCTGTGCTCGTGTTGCTTCTTCTGCTTCTGATGTTCAGTAATGGAGCCTGGACATGGGCCTAAGTATTAGATTCCAATCCAGTGTTTTCTCCATGATTGTCAGTCCTTGAAGTCTTCCTCAGTACTGCCAAATGGAAATGGTTTCTCCCTCCTCCTATGGTGTTTATCTATTTTCATGGTTCTAATCCTACTTTATTTTGTTTTATATCCCAGTCTCTCACATCCTAGATTTTAACCCCTGGATGTGGGGACTCCTCACGGCACTTGACAGTGTCTTAATGCATTGTACTTTGTATTAAATACTGAGGTACATGCTTTATCTACAGGCATCCCAAGGGCATGATATGCAGAGTGAGTCATCTTTGTACTTTATATGACAGCAGCATGCAGTTGGCTCAATTAATAAACTAAATGTTAGTTAAATAATCACTCAGTAAGAATTAATTGAATAGAATAATATATAATATAAACAGAATATTTATATTACTTATATTCTATTTATAAAAATAAATATAAATAAGAATAGACAATATTATTTGATAACAAGGTACTCTATCTGGGATAATTCAGGTGTTTTTGCTACAGTAAAATCTTTAAAAATATTTATTCTTGTATGGCATATCAACGGCCCAGTAGCTATAAAGATTTACAAACTGATTTCACTCTCCACTATCAACTCCTCCCTCCTCCTCCATAACTTGCCACGTCTCTAGCAGCACTGAACTTTTAGTTTCTGGCAATGCAATCCTCAACAGTATTTTTTCACTATTCAAAATATGTGCTCTGAGCCCCTACCTGCAGGCAGACAGGATATTCCAATTTAATAGCTGAACAGTTGAAACCCACAGTATTTGAGTAACTTGCTAAAGGTCGTCAGACAATTTAAATAGTTAAGACAGGACCAAAATCTGCCCCTGCCTCTTTGTGCAGAACTCTACTTTACCAGTCTTTCCTAAATATCTACTTCTGTCTCTCCTGTGGTGCAGACCAGGAAAGGGAGCTTCCCTGGGAGTTAAAAGATCTGTGTTTGAGGAACCCTATCTACAGTGGGCCTCAGATGATCTTTTCTATACAAGGAAGGGATTAGGCAGGATAATCTAAATTCCTTTCTAGTGCTGTGCCTTAATCATAGCATAAATGGTTTTTCATGTTGTACCAAACATTTCTCCACATTCCCACAGAGTATTCATAATGACAAGTTTTAATTACAAAGTACTGTCATTTTATATAACATAATCTACCTGATTCCTTATTGTTTCTACTTGTTCATTATTACAGATAATGCTGCAAAAAAAAGTCATGCATGCACTTTTTCCTTCAGCTAAATTATTTCCGTAAGAAAAATTGCTAGAAATGGGATCAATGAGTCCAAGGGTATGAGCATATTTATAGGTTTCAGCATTCCAATTATCAGGCCTATTCCTCCCTTCTTGACTCTTAAGAACTTCTTCCTATACCTTTTGCATTTCAATTATTTTTTAAACACTCCACATGTTTATTTCAAAACCACTTTGAAAAATATAAGGAAGTTGGATCCAACTCTATCTGAAACTAAGATGATGAAAATATATGACTATAGATAAGTTTTCAGTATTTTATACCTCTTACACTATAGAATCTTACCCAGGTACAGAGACTGGAGGACTTAGATATTTTTACTTTTTCTTGTTTTTCTGATGCTACTTCCTATTTGATTAACAATGGACAATTTTTACTTCTTTTATCCCAGGCTGGGTCTCCCAAGAGGAATCAGAGCTTCGTCTTTCACACACTGATAACCAGCCAGTGCCTTCACAGAGTCCAAAGAAATTAACAAGATGTAAGTTATTTATTTATATATGCTTTATCATTGCTTTAAGAATCAGTTGAATTCAGATAAATTTAGAAAAAGATCACTTTATATTGTTCTCACCTCACTGTCCTGAAAAAGTTGAATAATGAGTTATTATTATAATGATAGCTATACTGCCTATCCCTCACCGTGAAAAGCACTGAATAGAAATTGTGAGCTTGGGGTCAAGTGCGGTGTCTCATGCCTGTAATCCTGGACTTTGGGAGGGCGAGGCAGGCAGACTGCCCGAGGTTAGGAGTTGGAGACCAGCCTGGGCAACATGGTAAAACCCCAACTCTACTAAAATACAACAAAAAAATTAGCCAAGCGTGGTGGCGGACGCCTGTAGTCCCAGCTAGTCAGGAGGCTGAGGCAGGAGAATTGCTCTAACCTGGGAGGTGGAGGTTGCAGTGAGCCAAGATCGTGCCACTGCACTCACTCCAGCCTGGTGACAGAGCAAGACTGTCTCCAAAAGAAAAAAAGAAAGAAATTGTGAGCTTGGCAAAGCATACTACATTTTGTACTGTAATATTTTATAGTTTGTGTTAAGGTTTGTTGGTAATGGATATGAAATTAGGGATACAAAATGTTTTCTGATTACAGGATGCCTATTGACAAAGAATCCATTCAAGCACTTAAGTTGGTTACCATATTAATCTTTCTTTTTCTTTTTTTTTTTTTAATTGAGACAGTGTCTTGCTCTGTCACTCAGGCTGGAGTGCAGTGGTGCAATCTCGGCTCACTGCAACCTCCACCTCCTGGGTTCAAGCCATTCTCCTGCCTCAGCCTCTCAAGTAGCCGG